TCCACTTTAACAAGTAGATGACACCTTAGTGTTTATTTATTTGTCTTTGAGGGGGAGGGACTCAAACTGGTGTACATGGGAGAACTCCCCCCACTCCCCATTTTAGACTGTTAACAAGAATTCTGTGAGGAAGGTAATACTAAGAGACTGGCCCAGAGCCATTCAATGACCTCTGTGTCATGCAGGACCTGAACCTAAATCTCTTAATCCAAGTCCAATTTCTTAATTGCTACATTACATCAATATGTATAACAACCTAAAGTAAATGTGGGCATATCACAAAAGTGGACAATTATTAAACTATATGGAAAGGATTGTATAGTAAATGTATTTATTTAAAGTTATATAATCTGAAATTGAAACAAAAGGCACCTTTTGGGGGGCCTTATCTAATTTGGAGTGCAGCCCCCAGCATCCACCCAATGACTCTTAGCCTGAAAAATCTGTGTATGTGTGTTGTAGGGCAAAATCTATTCTTATTTTGAGAGGATACTTCTATTAAAAGAGGGCCATAAGGAATGGTTGAGCGTTAGTTTGATTTTAACCAAGTGTTGAACTGTAGCAATTCTGGCACAAGAATTGGGGTGGGGTGGGTGGAGATTCTGAATGGATAGAAAAGAATGAATAGTTCCTGCCCTGGCCTGGGGACTTGATATTCCTATCAACTTGCATTGCACCTGGGACTGTAATTCATAGGTATCCATCAAGATCTTCTCAAGAACCTTGGGAAGCAGATATTCAAAGGCAATCTCCATCCATTTCCCTGAGTCCCATATCCCAATCTGTACTCTGTGCCAGCAGAGCTAAACACTTGCCTTTGGGTGTGGGATGTTAAAATATGACTCAAATGTCATCTATTTTAATTCAGTAAGTGGAAAATGAGACATGGTGTATTTGCTTCAGGTAGTAGCATTGGAGGCTTAGATTGGGGAAGCTCTGCATTGCAGGGAGGAGGCCATCGCTGAAGCCATGCAACTTGGTTCACTCCTGGAGATCACTTCACCCCATTAAGGCTTGGAGCAGGCTTAATACCTTATCAAGCAGGATTGTTGCTGACATTCCTTATCAACTTGCTCCATTTCTAGGGCTATTGTTTTTAATCTCGAGTGCACTATGAACAAAACTAGATGTTTGCATTTAGAATTGGTGTCTGCCAAGGGTCTTTACCCCCTCTCCCAAATAACTTTTCTTTTCTCTCTTGTTATCTGTTAGCCACTTTGGGAATCCTTCTTTGGTGTAAGAAAGATAAAAATGCCTCAACTAAATCTGTTTTGGAGTTGAGACTAGTATAGGCTTTCCTAATGCAGTGTTCTTCATATGTGCAAGACTACAACTGCCATTAACCCATGCAATATGGCTGCTACCTTCTGGATTATAGGAGTTGTAGTCCACATGTCTGAATGTACTACATGGGGGAGGATGGCCTAAGAAGCTTTTGGGTTCCTAGATAACACTAGGCCAGAATTATTTTTATCAACTTGATTTGATTTGCTCATCATGGGGCTTGCTTTGAACATAAATACTGTACACCCATAATGCAAAACCAAAAACCAAAAACATCAAATTATGGTTTGGGGTGATTTGTGAAAATTTGGCCCCATGTTGGAACCTAGCAGATTCATGCCAAAATGCACAAACACTGGAAGGTACAGATGGTCCTTGTTCTTTTTCTTCCATACCTGTGTTTCCAATGTATTTATAAATAAATAAATAGGTTGCAAAGAAGCATTTTAAAAAAGTAAAATGTAATTGTAGCAGCCTACAAAGCCTCAGTAAGGAAAAAAGGTTTTTTGGATGAACATGCCGAAGAGAGGAGGAAAAGAACAAGAAAAACTTCTCATTGTATCCACATTCCAGCTGGTGATCTGGGTTTCAGCTGGTGGTGTTTGGAAAACGGCGTGGTGATTACACTCAGCTCTAGAGCAGGATGGCTCCTCGCCGTCTGATATGACGTCAGAATGTCCGTAGAGGCTCTCATTGCAAGATAGAGAGTGGGAGGGAAAGTACTAATCACTGCCAGATGTCCTCTTAATAATAAATATCAAGACTTACATGTTGCCTAAGAATAAATTTGTAATCAGTGGTTTACCAGACAATCATCAAAGCAATAATATTGTTTCAAGAATATTTGGGGTGGGTGGAGTGAAGGAAAGAGACACCAACCCTGCCTGCTTTGGCAAAGATATTTTGCCCACAAAACCTCTTCTGAAAGTAGCAGTTCTTTCTCTCCCAAACCTTGTTGCCCCTTTTCATTTCTGATGCTTCTCAGAATTTATGTGAATATGTAATTCAGATAACAGTTGCGCTTTAATCTCCATTTAGTGGAGAAGGCTGAAACAGCTGAACCATAATTGGCCAATTAGAAATGGAAAAAGGAAAACTGCTTTAGAAAAGTGTCTATTTCTGATAGGATAGAAGGAAGAGAGACAATAATGAACTTTAACTGTAAGAGTAGAAGAGGTTATAACAATGGCAGGAGAAAGTAGTTTTTTCCTTAGTTAAGTGAAACCCCATGTGTAGAGAATGTAATTAATATCAACCCTAGCATAACAGTCTTGAATTGTAATCTTACATAATTAGAGCTACCAGAGCGGTGCTGAAAGTATCTGGATGACGGATAGATGGCAGTAAGGAGAGTTGGTTTCTTTGTGTTATTTTGCCTCCATCCAGTGATCATCTGGATTTTCCCAATACAGATCTGATAGCCCCATCTTGGATATCAGTTCCTTTATTTCTACATAATGGTTGGTAGATTCATGATTAAGGCTGAACTTCTATACATGCTTGTTTGGAAATAAACAGGCATGTTACCCTCAACTTTATCTGTTTTCCCTAAATGTTGTCTTGAAAAGATTCAGATAGGTTCCTATATATATACATACACATACATACACACACACATACACACACATACGTGCACACACACATACATATACCCACACACATATACACACACACACATATATACCAGCTAACCCTGTCCCTTTCCAAATGCACACACATATGTACCAAACATTTTGGTTGGGGCTAAGTTCTACTTAAATGATCAAAACTTATTTCTGAGTAGACAAAGGGACAAGACTGCAACTTTATTACGGCTGTGATATCTCCAGTATTTATTTCAATACACTGGAGAGTAAACCTTAACCCAGGTATATTTAGAAACTGCTCAACAGTGCTGAGGTCAAAGGAAGAAAAGGAGGGCATCTACTTATCAATAGTTTGATATATGCCTATTGAGAAGCAAGTCCTGTTAAATGCAATGAAGTTTAATTCCTGGCAAGTAAAAGTCAGACACTGAAGTGATCCTACCCAAGGAGGACAAATAATGGCTCCTAACATCATTTTGGCATCACCCTTGACAAACAAACAAGGTTAGTTATCAGGATCTGTTTCTATGATAGAGTTGTTTCATTCAGGATAACCTGGAAATTTCACAGAACTACTGATCAGGCCAAGAGGAAGGTTGGAAAATGCCTTATTAATTTCCAAAGTTTAGCTTCTATGTTCTACCATTAATGTTATCTGTTGTTTTTTACATAAGAAACAGAAAGAGAAATGAACACAAAATTCACTTTTCAGTCTGGTTGTCTAAGAAGGTAAAAATTATACTGATTCTAGATATGTAATGTGGATGCAGTGTGAGCTTTCACCATGTTTCAAATGCTAAATATTAAACACACACACACACACACACACACACACTTGCATAGTGCCTGCTTTGAATTACTGTGCAAAGCCCTAAAAGAATGCTGCCCTCCCAACCCCTCTAAAAAACAAGTTGAATTTTGTTTTAAGCCTTGGTGGATGAATTTTGGAGTGTTAGATGAAAAAATAAGAATGCAATTTTCACTGTTTCCTATGTATGTAATTAAAATAGGTGTTGTTATCATATGAACATTTTAAATTGACTGCATTAAGTGTACACTGATCCATTGAGTACTACAGGTTGGTTCTTATTATTTTCAAGTAGTTATATTAAGAAGCAGACATGGGTCACTGTGGTTTGAGCACCCCCACAGGTAAAGTGGAAATGTTAAGTGCTGTTTTCTGGCATCCCAAAATGGGCCTTTCTCCTCTCCATATCATCAAAGGTTATGTTTCCCATCTATTTCAGTAGGATCCACTTCCAAGCAAGTAGACTTAAGATCCCAACTTACTGTAAATAAAAACATTTTGCAGCAGTACTCTTGAAAAGCCGTAAAAGAGTACAGCCCATACGGAAGATATTATAGGTAAGTAAAGTCCCATTGAAATCAAAGAGACTTAATTCCAAGCAAATGTGTTTAGGATCAGAGTGCCAGGCTGCAATTGACAAAATCGGTTAACTCTTAAGCAGTGTAAACTGAAAATAAGCAAGTCAGAAGGAACTGCTTCCAACCTTCCTGTTGGCCAGCAAGCCAACTCAACAAATGTTCCATGCTTTGAAAAGAGCCCAGCCATTTTCTCAGTGTAGATCCCTTCTTGTTAAGTCTACTAGCATCACCAGTCATTCTTCAGAAGGTATAAAGCCTGTCCTGATCTTAGTGATATCAGTACAGATAGTTGAAGCTGAAACTCTGGAAGCTTTGGTTAGTAGAGAAAGGATGAGTGGAAAGTAGGTGAGAAGCAGGAAGAAAAACAGTTCTGAAGATTAAATTGGGACTGCCAAACACTTTAGAAAAAAACAACCCATGTTTACAAGCTACATCTGAAAATTTTAAGAAAAATCATGTTTCTAGAGTCCCCCCTCCCCCCTTCACATTTATAATCTATTTCTCTTTTGTCAATAGAATCCATTTCCTTGGAAATCAGCCTCCTTGCATCAGTCTATTATTGAACTTTCAAACTTGGCATGTTTACTAGAAAGCAAGACCCACTTTCTAGTAAACATCAAGGTAATCTCAGGTGAGCTCATGAACCACCAAAATTGTTACCGTATTGCACTGAGGGGTTGACAGCAGAGTCCTATGCAACAATTATTTAGAAGTAATTCTATCCAGTTCACTGGGACATAAACATTTTTCCATTGCAGCTTTAATATACAGTATAGAATATCCAGAAAAATGGAGCAAGAGTTTTGTTTTTGTTTTTGTTTTTGCTGCTACCCATGAAGAATCTTGGGACAACCTATGGAGGCTTGCATGTGTGTTCTGCTTCAAGATGCCACAAGGGATGTAGCTGTTTTTAAAAGGGAAGAAAAACCAGATTTATTTCAGTGTAATTTGAAATGAATTCTTCTTCCAAAGGGGGATTTTTAAGACACTTCTTTTGTATGTTTTATGGTTTTGTTTTTTTAAGTGTGACAGGACAGCATACAAGTACTGGAATATTTTTTAAAAAAATGATGGGCTTGCAATCCAGACTGACCCATATTTAGAGTATACTCCTAGTCATCCATGGGATGTGAACTGTCTCAAAATTGGCTTAAGGCTAGTTGTCTTCCATGGGCCTAAGTAGATCCAATGGATGGTACAAGGATCCAAGCCAGCGTGGCTCCAGTTTTCAGCTGGAAACTTCGCCCTTCCAAGCAAGAGGAAAACAGCCCCAAAGGTGCAGGCACCAGTATTGCCCCCATTAGCCCGAACCTACGCCCAAAGAGGCCTCGTCAGCGCAGGAGCATTTTCGGATTTTACTCGCTTCAGTTTTACTGAATTTTACCCTTCGACTTTTCCTAAGCCGGCTTTTTTTTCCCCCCAGAACAGCTGAACTAGATTCTCTTTCGCGGAGCTCTTTCATTCATTTCCCTCTCGCTTACCTATCAGATACTCGCCGCAGCCCTTTTAGCCAGTATTCCCAGCCGGAAGGCGACAAAGGAGCAAGTCCCCGCTCCACCACGGGGCTCATCCCGGAGCAGTTCTCGTCTCAATCTATCTGCGTGCGCGCGTGCAAAGAGCGAGGGAGAGAATTCAAGCTTGACCTTCGCAAGAACTTTGCCATAGACAGGGAGAAGGAAGGAGAGAGGGAGAGCAGGAGGAGGAGGAGGAGGAGGAGGAGGAGGAGGAGGAGGGAAGGAGAGAGCGCGGGCTGGGAGATGCCTCTTTCTTTGTGCCAGACCCATCCTAGATCTCGGCCAGTCGCTGCCTGAGAGGGCCACGTACTCTGGCGAGGACCTTATCAGGCCCGCCGCTCCAGCCCAGCGATCTGGGGCCAGGGCTCCTGACATCCCAATCGGCCATCAATTTACCTTCCCACCGCCCCGCTTCCCCATTTAGCTTTTAACGTCAAAAGCTACATTTTTGTCGGCTCCGGCCTGTCTAGGGCTCTTGCGATTTAGCTCCAGGAATGATTGCTCCTGAGAAAATAGCAACAGCCCCATTACCGAGCAATTAAAAAAGCCCTCCCCTCCTCTTCCCCCCGTCCCAGGCACTTCGTCGCCCGCCATCACCTTTCAATAGGACCAGCGGCCCCGCCAGATGACCGAGAGAGAGTGAGAGAGAGAGATTTCAAAACCAAAAGTCTAGGGATCATTTTTGTGGCGGGGGGAGGAAAACCATCCAGCTACTGGCTGGGGTTTTCTATTTTTTCTTCCCCCCGCCCCAGGCACTTCGTCGCCCGCCATCACCTTTCAATAGGACCAGCGGCCACGACAGATGACCGAGAGAGAGTGAGAGAGAGAGATTTCAAAACCAAAAGTCTAGGGATCATTTTTGTGGCGGGGGAAGGAAAGCCATCCAGTTACTGGCTGGTATCTTCTATTATTCCTGCCCCGCGATCCTGGGCCCCTCGCTTGGAAATCTCATTGCAGTGAAATAAGCTCTGAAATCAGTGAAAGTCTACAAGCACATCACGGTGTTGCCATCTGAGAAGGAAATGTTGTTTCTGGTTAGTTCAATCCGTATATTTTTAACCACATGCTTTTGAGCTCTGATTAACGAATGGGGCAGTTCGGATAGTACCGTCCAATCCTAGGAGATCAGCCCCACGCCTTTATGATGATTCCCCCAATAATTATATCCGAATAAACATGAACTGGAATGCACCTTGGAAAGCTTCGGACTTTGGACTGGATCCTGTCTGTTCAGCCCCAGCTTTCATTTCGCGTGGCCTGAATGCACACGCGCACGCACAAACTCGCGTTCACCTCCAGAAAGATAGATGACGAATCCACATTAGAGTTCGGCCAAAAGATTGCAATATTTATTGTTTCTTTGAGTCCTTGGAAATAACCTCTTCCTAATTGTCCTTCGGGCTTTTTGCTGTGAACACTCGTGTGAGAAAAAGACTGGCTTCCTCAAGTATCTTCTGTAAATTAACCAGAAGCAGATTAGAGTTCTCCCCACTGCTTGGAAAAGTGTTAAGAAATAAGAGCGGCTAGGAAGAGACAATACATTTCTTCGTTAAACTGGGGAAGATTTTAAAAGAAAAGTACCGGCGGCCCCAGCACTCGGCGCAACCGCCTGACAGTAAGATCTGGTTTTTCTAAAGTCCGGCATGAAAAATTGTGTTTATAGGTCGATGAAATCATCATATATTGATTACACCCTGGTGTGCCAGGAGTCTAGAAATTTTCCAGGCGGGGAAGGCGAAAGTGTTAGCCTGATCTTGTAGTTAGCCGTTTCTCTTGACTTGTTAAAACCCCGAATCTTTGGTGACCTGAAAACTACACCCAGGATAAATCCTGGAAAGGAAGGGGGGGGGCACGGTGGGACCCAACTGCAGCTGCCGCAACAGCGTGTTTTTTTTTTTTAAGGGGGAAGGGCGTTCTCTCGAAAGCAAGTGCACCGGCCAGTCCAAGCAGTCTGACCCCGGTGCTGGAAGAGGGCACATCATTCTGGCCTGGTTGTTCTAACCTCGCAACCTTCCTGTAGTCAGCGAGGCCTGGCCAATGGGGCAAAACAACTTCTACTGATCTTTTGGTGGGCCATCGGACAGCCATCGCTCGGCCTCAGGGGCGTGGATGGAGCAAGCCACTGGAAAGGGAAAGCGGCGAGGCGAACAGCGATCGAGGATCCTGGCAAACTTCTTGGTATCTTTGACTATAATTGATTTATGCCTTTCCTTCTGGATCTGGAGGAGAGCCAACATGCAGAGGTTCCCGTGCGCGCCAGGGACTACGGATGCAGAAAAAGGAGCAGGAGAAAGAGGAAAGGTGAAAAGCTCCCGTCGCTTAATCCCGAACAAAGAGCGACCAAGCAAGCGATCTTAACCCTCCTTCCGGCTGGGTGGCCGATTCGATCTTACTGCCTCAACCTAAAGATTTCATAGCCTATGATCGCGGGATCGATAGAATGCGCGCCTCCTCTCCGTGATATTTTGACCTGCGTTCTAGACAATGCCTGTTGCGCGGAGAGGCCGGAAAAACAATTGCTTCTCCTAACGCGATTTCTTACACCTCGACTTCGCAAGGCATCCAACCAGTTGCGTTTATATAGCGCGTCCTTGTCCAAAGCACGGGACCAGGCCCTCAGTCAGTTTTAAGGCGCGAGGGGAAGACGCGGCAGCCAAGTGTGGCGCCTTTTCGCTCCCAGTGTGTTTCCAAGGGCCACCAGCGCCACCGTAAGCCCCCCGCCCTCTTCCTTACTCATATACAACCAAGCCAACTCTAATTCGCCAGCCTTTTGCTAGAACAGGATTTTTGTAGAGCTAAAATACACCAATAATAATTTTAAAAAGCCCTTGAAAAATGTACCTTTGGAGGAATCACAAAGGTAAGGCGAAGGTCACTCGCACCTCGTGGTAAATTGCTCTCACGCACACTTTCCAGATCCCTAGATTGTTATATAATCAATTACGCCAACGCACCCGCTTAACTCTGCGTTAGCCTCCCCCAGCCAAAAGCCTGAAGGTGATTCGCCGTCACTAACCGCTCCGAACAACCCCTCGCAAGTCTTCAAGGCCCGCGCCGAGCAGCAGACCCGGCGTGGGGGGGGGGGG